CCGTTAACTTTTTATTCAACATTTGACCATTCGTCTTATTAAAAAATTTATGTAATTATCATTTCTTTTATTGTCACTTCATTATTAAATGTTCTTTAAGCATGACATAAATATTTTCATATTTACAAAAAAAATTGAATAAAATGAATAGTCAAACATTGGTTAAAAAGTTAACCGCGTCATACATTAAAATACGGAGGGAGTATTTGATAGAGTTATTTTTTTCCGGAGGGAGTACATACGCGTACCGAACGACGTACGTACGTCTCTGCTGCGTGCCGGCCGATGCTAGACATGAACACATGCGCTTGCTCTGCCCGCGCGATGCAGCGCTCTGCTGGCGCACACGTACTGCACATGTCACGCACTCGCGTCAGCTCGCGATCTTGTCGTAGTAGAAAAAAGAAGGACAAGAAAACCGTACATACTGTAGTTACGTACGTGCGCTCCGGCCGTATACAGTGCGATCGACGTACTATGGCTTTCACGACGATGACACTGCAACTGTGCGATTAATACATTTCGGGTAGACATGGATGGATGGATCTCGGCGCCCCTGCTTGATTTTGATTATTACTCCATTTTTTTTCTCTCAAACAGTAAAAGGAGTAACGGGTAAAAAAGATCCACCCGTCGCCCGCCGGCCACGCGCTCCTCGATCCGGAGGCCTCCGGCGGTGGACTCCAGTCACCGGTCGTCGGACAGGGAAGCGCTCGTCTTATGTTAGAGAGGGAGAGCGAGGAGAGGAAGATTAGGGAGGGGAGTATTGAGAGCTTTACGTTTGATGTGTAGTCAGGAGGCTGCGAAAATTCATATGCAGATCTCTTAATAGAATGTTAAAAAAAAAATCTCTTAATAGACCTGCCTATAAAAAATAATATTGTTTTGCAGATGGATCTATCAAAAAAAATTCACTAATGGACCTTTACCGAGAAAAGGATACATTTTTTACTTGCAGATTTTTATAAGGAAAAAGTACGAATTACACCCTCAAACTATCGCGGTCGTTCGAATTACCCCCCTGAACCACAAAGCTGGACATTCTTCACTCCCAACTATGCAAACCGGACGAATTACCCCCCTTAACTTAATCCGCGGTAGTTTTGGTCTACGTGGCGTACGCGTGGCAGTCCAATTAGCATTCTATTTATTAAAAAACTGTAGGACCCACATGTCTTCCTCTCTCTCACTCTTCCTCTCTCTTCTCTCTCTCACTCTCTGTCTCTCTTCCCCCTCTCTCTCACTCACAGGTCGGCGGCGGCGGGGGACACGGAGCGGCGGCGGCGGCGGCAGTGGGTGACGCGGAGGCGGCGGCGGGGGATGAGGAGGAGGACGACGAGGATGTTGACGAAGGAGTGGTGGACGACGATGAGGACGACGCTCAGGCTGCGGCGGCGGCCATGGCGGAGAGGCGGTCATACCTCCTCCTCCCCTCCTCCCTCTCTCTCTCTCTCTCTCTCTCTCTCAGGCACAAAGCGCGCACGGCGGTCGGCGTGCGGGCGGCGGCGGCGCGCGTGGAACGGACGGGCCGACGACGAGCACGAACTTCCCCTTGAACGCGCCGGCTGAACGGTAGTCGGCGGAGTGGACGACCTTCCCGGGGAACGTGTCCATCCCGGCCACCACCCTCTCGTCGTTTTCGCCCGCGGCGGCGACGAGGTGCCTCGCCGCGTACCGCTCCGTGCGTCCCGTGGCGAGGTCGACGGCGTCGACGAGCCACCGCGCGCGGCCAGCGTCGTAGCGCGCCGAGCGGACCTCGCGGCGGAGGCGGGTGCGGGGGAGGTAGTCGGGCGCGCTGGCGGCGGTGCTAGCGCTGGTCCGCTTCAACGAGGACGTGCTCGTCGGGCCGGTGCTGATGGGGCGCGCCGTCGGCGCGCTGGTCGCGTCCGCGTCCGCCTCGCCGGCGCCGCTGCGCGCGCTGAATGGGCTCGTGGCCGCCATCCGCAGCCCGCTCGGCATCGGTTTCGACCTGAACGTGCCGCCGGAGACGTTCGGCCACTACTGCGCCGTGCTCCAGTCCGAGATGCTCTGCCTGGAGCTGGAGCCGACGCCTTCTCCTTTCCCTGCTCCGGCGGCAAGGTCGCATTGCTTCCTGTCCGAGGACGACACAAGCAGCAGCAGCACTCAGCATCAGTTAGCTGCGTGAACAGTCGGTGATCTGATGCAGAAGCAGGGTGCAGGGATTGCTTCCAAGCAAGCAGGTGAAACAGAGCTGGAGTAATATTAAAGGCATGTTCAGGTCGAAGCCGACGCAGACGCGCGCGGCGAGTTCCCTCGGCTCGTCTCCCTGCTCTGCTCCACCGACCCCACATCCGCGCTTGCGGCGCGTGCGGCAGCACGCAGTAGCGCTCCAGGACGAGGCTCGTCACCCGCCGCCGCCGACCTGTGTGAGAGAGAGGAAAAGTGAGAGAGAGTGAGAGAGAGAAGAGAGAGAAAGTGTGTGAGAGAGAGAGGAAGACAGGTGGGTCCCATATTTTTTTATAAATAGAATACTGATTGGACTGTAACGCGTACGCCACGTAGACCAAAACCACCGCGGATTGGATCGAGGGGGGTAATTCGTCCGGTTTATATAGTTGGGGGGTGAAGAATGTCCGTTTTTGTGGTTATGGGGGTAATTCGGACGACCACAATAGTTTAGAGGTGTAATTCGTACTTTTTCCTTTTTTTAAAGCTCCCCGTAGAAATTTGAAGGATCGTATGTAAAAATTATCTTTTAAAGTAGAGTGGAGTCTTATTAAGGTTGTATTCTTTCGTTGGCTTTTCCAGCTCAACTCTTTTTTTTTTTTGCGTATACTTCCCAAACTAATAAAAGATACATTTTTTTCAAAAAAAAAATATACGAAAGTTATTTTAAAAATTATATTAATTTATTTTTCAAAAGAATAGCTAATACTGGCCTGTTTAGATCTATTTGTAATGGCAAATAGCAAAAGTTTTGGTGGTAAAAGATTTGGTATGGAGTTGGTGTTTAGATGCATCCTAAAGTTTTTCTTTTTAGCACTTTTTGGTGGAGATAGAGAGCATGCGCGCGTGGTCTTGGAGCACTTTTTGGCACAATTTGCTACCCTGGGCTAGCAAATGGTAAATACCAAATTACCAACTTTTGCTACTAGTGTTATCCAAAATGGCAAAAAGTGTTTCAAAATGGTAAAACTTTTACCATTTTGAAGGATCTAAACAGGCCCTCAACTAATTATGTGCTAATGAGTTGTTCCGTTTTATATGCTACAGAGATTAGTTCCCACCCAGGAGATGCTGTCCTTGATCATGACTGACCTGGAAAGTGCGATCGGAAGTAGAACACGATGCATATTTTTCATATATCGTTCGTTCAGCTTTGGCGGCGAGACACGGCACAGGTGGAAAATACATGTCCGGATCGATGACGTGGACCCATGCATCTAGCTCGTGTAAATTTCGCTTTCTTACTCGCGACTCGCGAGACTCGCATTTTCAAGTCAACGTTTTTGTTCTCTTCTCCCATGCGCCTCGTTCTCCTCACCAAGCAACCAACGGGGACAAGCCGCCAATCCGATTTGATTATTTATTGGATTAGTCAAATATGCGATAGTAGTTTACTAGTAGTTATTAGTTAAATTGATAATCAGTTGGAAAGGATAAGGCGTGACGGCAGATGCTTCGCGCCATTTTTCAAAAGTAAAACTTTAGGAAGCTACGAGTTCAATCATACTACTGACTACCATTTTTTTTTAAAAAATACTAACTACCATGCATTTCATTTTGTTTTTCTTTAATATTTCTATCTAAATTTTTAAACCTACAATAACTTATTTTTATTCTTTTTTCTTGTGTTGCTGGGTCACAGTTTTGGCCTAGACACGCAACATGATAAGCAAAAATCGTTCTATACGTGTAGTTCTTAATTTAACTGTTACGACGCTTTGGTTTCCAGTTATGTGGAATTTAATCTCTTTATGTTATACTTATAGTATGATCAAAGCTAAAAAGCCTCGTTGATTAGCGGCGATGGGACATGAATACTTGGCGAATCCTTCTAGCTGGCCCTTGCTGTCGGAAAGCTCGAAAGGTCTGGTTACGTGCCGCCCAAATAGATTAAGGCCAGAATAAGTTTCCCTTTCTTTATATTACTATGTAATAAATAATAATGATGCGTATACAGTACAGGTACGTGCAAACGTAAGGAGGTTAGGGATATATATAAGGGGATTATTTCCATGGACGAAATTAATCTATTTTGCTACAAAAAATGGCTTTGTGGAAAAACTGAAAATTAATGATAAACTTCAAAACTATATTTATTTAATCTAAAACTTGAAAACCATTTGCATAAAGCTAAACTCCCTTTTAACCATAAGAATGTTAAATAAAAAAATTATAATGTCATGGTATTATATAATTCCTTTGTTCAATCATAAGCACATATTTCCTCTGTCCCATAAAAAAACAAATCTAAAATAGGATGTGACATATATCTAGCACTATAATTTGGACAGAGATATGTCCAGATTTATAATATTAGAACGTATCACATCCAGTACTAGATTGATTTTTTACGGGACGGAGTGAGTATATGGTTATCCTCTTTTACGTTGAATAATTATAATGATTTTTAAATAATTACTCCATTTGAGGGTGTAAACAAAATAATTTGATATTATAATGCTTAAAAATAAATATAAAGAAAAATCATATGTAGAAAGTTTTTATTAAAAATACATATTATTATTTAAAAGCTCGAGAAACGTGTATACTATTATTCCATGCCCTTCTTCTGTAATAAATAAAACCATAAAAAGATCAACAATAACACATTTTTTCTATTGTTCATCATCTGAAACAATCTAGACGTCTCCTCCTTCCAAAAATGACAAAATCAGCCTCTGCGAGACAAGCCGAGAAAACAGGATTTGCAACTTGCAAGTACGACTACTAAACTGTCGTCAATGGATAGATAAACCCCTTGGACCAAAACCGCTTAAACCCAAAACAATCCACACAACACCATCCCCCGATTCCTCCCCCCTACCGTCTAAACATGGCCCGCCGCCAGGTGGGCCCCGGCCCCACCCGTCATCCACCTGATTGCCAATAATCCGATGTGCATTAAACGCACCAGAACCGAACGAACCAATCCCGTCTCCTCCTCGCTTTGCTCCTCGCGATTCCGGAGTCCACCTGCCCTCCTCGTAAAAGGAAGGCGAAAAATCGAAGAATTTCTCGAGCTCCGTATCGCGTACGACACCCGAGCCGAACCCCCCAACCCGAGGCGGCGGCGGCTGCGGCGGCGGAGGCGAGCGGGATGTACCCGGTGGTGACGGGGCCGCCGCCGGCGAGGCTGCCGGCGTCGACGCGGGTGGACAAGGCGACGAGCCACCTGCTGCAGGGCCCCGACTGGGCCATCAACCTCGAGATATGCGACACCCTCAACGCCGACCGCTGGTGACCGATCGCTCGCTCGCTCGCTCGCCTCCTCCTCCTTCCCCCCTCTCCTCTCCTCTCGCCGTGCTAGCTCGCGCCGCCGCCGCCGCCGTGGTTTGTGCGGGGATGGATTGTTGTGCTGCGGGGGCTTGGAGCTGAGCTTTTGCGGTGGGGAACGGGGAATTTTGTCTGTTTAGCTTTTCTGATTTCTGTCGCGGCTCTGCTGTCCTCGTCGAAATTGGTTTTAGGAGGGAGCGTTGACTCGATTGGTTCGGCGTGTGCTGGTCAATGTTTCGATCGATTTCGCGCTGTTGCTACCTGATTGAGGTTAAATTGAGATGGATTTTGGGAAGTAGCCTCCAGTATGTAGCCATGGATTGTTTTCCGCCTCCGGTAGCGATTACATATTATGAGAACTAGAAGGGGGTGTAAGGCGCCAACCGGACGACTTTTGCATGTTAACCTCAGCTTAGGGTGGCATGTCCGTATGTTTCAGTTAACTTTTAGCCAGTCAAGGAATCGTGATTTGAGATCAGATGTAGTTATGTCTTAGCTCCCATTGAGACATCTCGATTGATTATGACAGAATTTCTGGAGGGTTATAGTACATGGTTTATTTTTCAAAAGGGTACAAGGTACTTGCACCAATGTCCCTAAAAATATGGATTGATGTAGTTTTAGTGGTTACTGGTTAGTTTAAGTGCATATGCTTGCAATTTTCGTCAATGAAAAAGAAAAGGTGTGAAGGTAGTTTACTATTTTCTATCAAAGTTGTTGTTCATGGTAAAAACGCATTTGATGCTCCCTGTCAGATATTGTTTAACTATGTTGAATTTGGACAATGATTAGTGATTACTAAAGTATTTCCACTTTGAATCAGGCAAACAAAGGATGTGGTAAAAGCTGTGAAGAAGCGGTTGCAACATAAAGATCCAAGAGTTCAGTTTTTCACTTTGACGGTATGTGGATGTTTTTTGACAAACGTCAATTTGTTCGATTGAATGAACATTTACACATATATTGTTTTATTTATCTGCTCCTGACTATCCACATGGTAAGGGAGCATATCAAATTATTCTTCTATCAACACTACTTCATGATTATGATTTTTCTTGTCTGACGTTGGCTGCAAAATCTTTTCAGTTGTTGGAGACAATGATGAAGAACTGTGGTGAATATGTCCATTTTGAAGTTGTTGAACAACATATTTTGCAAGAAATGGTTAGAATTGTCCAGAAGAAGGTAATCTCCCTGCTTTGGTTATAGCCACTACTCTCGTTACTGCTCTCATGTTGTTTTAATTAGCAAAGAAAAGTAAAAGTACTTTTTTTTTTGGCACTAGGCCTGTTTGGATACTGGGAACTTGTATCTAAATCCTTAGGAATTTGAACTAAATAAACAGTCTAAAAAGAAGTTACCTCACCCAAACAGTGGAAGTTCTTTCTGTGTTAAGAATTTATGGAAGCTTTAATTTCTGAATTTTAATTGAGTAACCAGTAAGATTGAGGTGTATATAATTGTGTCAGGATATTTAGAATGATGCTGTTTTTCTGAGAATATTCATTTTCTGAATGTCCATGCAGCATGATACTCAAGTGAGGGATAAAGTATTGATACTTCTGGACTCATGGCAAGAAGCATTTGGTGGACCTGGAGGCAAATATCCACAGTATTACTGGTCATACATTGAACTTAAGGTATGCATCAACCTTTTAGTTTACTTATAATCTACTTAGGACATAAATCTCATTTACCATAATAGCTGATGTCAAAATCTGTTACAGAGGTCAGGAATAATGTTTCCCAGGCGCCCTGTAGATGCTCCTCCAATATTTACTCCCCCTGCAACACATCATACTCAGTCTTATGGTTCACCTACATATCCTGCTGGAAGTCTAAATGAGAGAATGACATCCGATGTTGAAACTCTGAGGTTGCATTACAATCTACTACTTATTAGCTCTTCTCATTCCAGCTGTCCTTTTTGTTATCTTACTTTATGATTATAACCTTTTATTGCTTTTGTCATCAGTTTAGGGGACTTAAATAATATTAGAGATACAACAGAACTTCTGTGTGATATGGTGAATGCTTTGAATCCTTCTGATCGCATGGTAGGGTGAAATTCTCAACACAAAACTAGTTTTGTTGAAGTTCACGCAAATGATCTATTAACATTTTGGTGACCCCAGGCTGTTAAAGATGAAATTATTTCAGAGCTTGTCACCCAATGCCGATCAAATCAACAAAAGCTCATGCGATTTGTCAGTTCCACAGGGTAAGCTCGTTGGATTTCTAGTTTGTGTTCCTTCCTGCTTATGAATAATGTCAAAAAAGGTCTGAAGACTCGGTCTCTCAAACTGTACAAAGATATAATTCCTTTTTCCAATCACCACTTGGTGTTTCCCTGAAGTGACTTCAAAGTTTGCTGTTTTTCACTAGCACATGCATAAGCATTCTGCTAATTTTATGCCATATAATTGGTGCTATAATCCAGACTGCAGAAATTAATATCTATGTTTTTGTGGTTTCTGTTGTTTAGAAATGAGGAGCTACTGAAGCAAGGCCTAGAAATCAATGATCACTTACAGAGCGTACTTGCAAAACATGATGCCATTGCTTCTGGAGCTCCTTTGCCGGTCGAAACACCAAGGAAAGACGAGATACCCAGAGAAGATCCAAAAATAAAGCCATCTGCACCTCCGATTGCACCTCCATCCGCACCTCCAGTTGAAGAGGATGAAGATGACGAGTTCGCTCAGATAGCAAGAAGGTACTTAAAAGTATCCTTTAACAGGCAATCTATTCATTCATTATCAGAAATTTAGTCTTAATGCTTTTTATATCTGCAGAAAAAACAAATCTGTGATAAGTAGTGATGAGGCATCATCCAGTGCTGGTGATCAGGCCCTTGTACCCGTTGACCCAGTAACTTCTGAAGCCTCATCTTCTGTTGCAAGCAATGCAGTGGTGCCTGTTGACTCGTCTCCTGCCAGTGGTACTCGGACAAGAGAGCAGGACATGATCGACCTTCTAAGCCTCACCCTGTACAGCCCCCCTGAAGCATCTACAGATTCTTCTTCACAGACCCAAAATGGCACGCAGCAGTCTGTCACGTCAAATGGGCCAGAATTACCACCAAACTATCAGCCTGCTGCATCAAATGGATCACATTACTCTTCTAACCAGCAGGCATATCCAACGAATCAAGCTTACACCCCATACAACAATTATGTTGTACCTTGGGCCCAAGCTGGACAGGGCACACAGGCTGGAGGAGCATATCAAACTCAGCCCATGCAACAATATGGATCTAGCTACCCAGCACCACCATGGGCGATGCCAGCAAGTGTCAACTCAACCAATCCTTTTCAGCCTGCAACATACCAGATGCAGAACCCTCCTGTTGCTTCTGTTGCCCCCACAAATACCTATCCAGCTCCTTCATCGCCGTATGCTGCTCCGCCAAGGCAACAAGTGCCATCTCCTGCAACCAAACCGATGCAACAGTACAACTCCTTTGTTTCTCAAACAAGAAGTGGTCCGGCAATGGCTCAAGATGTTAGAATGAATGGTAATCCACGGCCATCAGAAACTACAGCGGCTGCGGCCAAACCATACTACATGCCAGACAATTTGTTTGGTGATTTGATTGATGTGAAGAGTTATGGTGGAGGCAAGATGAGTAGAACGGCGAGCATGCCTAGTCCAAATGGCAGTGGCCAACCTTTGCTGGGTGGGAAGAAATAGTTCTAGAGTTCCAAGCTAGCTACTACGGTTGTTCCACACGTGTCTATATTTGCTGTTGTATATCTGTTAAGGTTTCGCGTTGGTTACATTTGTTAATTTCGTGGTTGCCGCTTGTATTTTAAAAGAGTAGAGCATCATTGCTTGTAAATGATCGATGACATTCATCCGAGGGTGGCTTCTTGCTCGTTTAACTTCACCGCTTTGGTTTGTGAAGTATGTGTATATAATATTCAGCTGATGTGCAGACATTCTCTCATATATTGCCAAGCTGAAACAACTTTTGCACAACATCATTGCGAAATCACTGACATTTGCCAATATAATTGTTTCAACATTTACATCGCCTGGGCATTGTGATTGGTTCGTTTTGTCGTTCAGCATGTAAACAATAACTATAACAATACATCTGACATTGACATGCGCTTATTGGTCACGAGTCACAACACATCTGATTAGAGACCGGAGGAGCGCCTATTGGACCATGTGTTGAGCAGCGCATGGTGGGTTTGCAGGACATATTACGAGACAACGAGGTGCTATCTCACCAATCCCCAACATTATTTATGGATACGGATCACATGCGGACAGGTTGATCCTGCCAGTCCCTCTCCGACTCACAGCTTCGATAGTGAAATGTCCATCGCCTCAATGAAGAAATCTGCATGCAGCAAGATACGTTGTTCATCAAACCATGTTACAGTCATGGATCAGAAATTACTGAAACATGTATTGACAATTTATCAGCAGCAGAGTAGCAGGTCTTACCGGAGTCCTCTTTGGTGAAGCATAGTGGAGGTGTTACTCTGAACACGTTCCCGTAGAAACCACCTTTCCCAACCAGCACACCCATGTCTGTGTCAAAGAAGAAAGTTCAGAAATCACTCATGGTGAGATCTTTCAGTAACAAAACTGGAAGAGGCTGAGAGGATCAGTAGTACCTTTCATGTGGTTCATGACATGACCGATCTCAACTTTGGCCGGTGTCTTCTTCTGGCGATCGGTCACCAGCTCAACCCCAAGAAGGAAGCCTTTCCCTCTAACATCACCAATGACTGGAAAATCCATCCATACAAGCCAAAATGTAAGGAACAAATCTACCCTGGATCCATGTGGTTGCAACGTGATTTTACTGATTTTATCTTAGTTACTGATACTCACTGTCATGCTTCTCTTTCAGCTTGTTGAGCCGTTCCTTCAGGTAGGAGCCAACCACAAATGCGTTCTCCTGGAGCTTCTCCTTCTCCAGAACCTTGAGAACAGCATGGCCACCGGCTGTGCTGACAGGGTTGCCACCGAAGGTGTTGAAGTAGCTCCTGCGGGTTAACACCTGAGCGATCTCAGGGGTTGTGACGACTGCTCCGATCGGTATGCCATTGCCTATACCCTGAAGATGAAGAGAAGGAACATGTGAGTTTCCCAAAGATTGTATTCGTCAAAGGAGGGATGAATTGAGTCTGAAACTCTGAATGTTATGGAAGGATCCTCAAGATTCACCTTTGCCATTGTAACTATGTCTGGGATGACGCCGTGCGATTCAAATCCCCAGAAGTGGCTTCCAGTTCGTGCGACTCCCGCCTGAACTTCGTCGGCGATGCAGAGGCCGCCAGCTTTCCTTACCATATTGTACACAGCAGGCAAGTATCCTGGTGCCAGTTCCACTATTCCACCCACTCCCTGGAGGAGGAAAAAGAACTCGTTTTCAGAATGATAAGAAATCACTGTTGATCGAAATGACAAATAAGATGGCCATTGTATGATAATGCATTGAGATTGATATATGTACCTGTATGGCTTCCGAAATGAAACCACCGACCCTTCCTGTAGTTCCAAAATCAATGATTTCCTGAACATCTCGGGCATACTTTTCGCCATCAGAACCGAAAGCACCTCTATATGGGTCTGGATTAAGTGCATGGTGCACTCCCGTCTGAACAAATTATAAATGAATAATCATTAGTTTCAATGATTTACATGTAATAGTCGCAGTTTTTTTTTTTTTGAAACAACAAAAGTCGCAGTTTTAAGTCCTGCGTGTTTACTCAATACCTAATGCTGTAAGCGAAAACAGGACCAACACTTGCCTGAACAACATTAAATTTCCAGTTGCATTGAGCGGTAGCACCCATTGTTCCAGCCGCATTCCCGTGGTATCCATTCCTGAGTGAAATAATGTCATGGCAACCAGTGTAAAGCCGGGCAATCATCAGTGCAAGCTCGTTCGCCTCCGTGCCAGAATTTGTGAAGAAAACAACCTGAAAAGAAAGGAACAGATTCAGGTAAAGCTTTCAACAGGCAAAACAATCTTCATGTATTTCTAAACAATTAGCAATATTCGGATAGAGAAAGTCCAGTTTTCTCAAGCTACCTTCAGATCACCAGGCATTTTGGCTGCCAATGCCTCGGCAAAATCTGCAATAGCATGATTCAGGTAAAGAACTGTGGAGTGTTGTATCCTCTTTGCTTGGTTGACCATCGCCTCAACAACATCCGGATGGCAGTGCCCGCAACAAACGGTTGCAATGCCACCAAAAGCATCCAGGTAACGGCGGCCATCCTCGTCGAACAGGTACTGCATTTTCCCATCGACTATGTTCAACTGAAATGTTTGTTACATACTAAATGGTCAGTTTTTGGAACTTGAAATCTCCAAAAACCATATCTTTATCACATATTGATATGTTTTAGAACGAGAATTTTCCCTTTTTAGAAAATTTTTAATAACCCTCTTCTAAAGAATTCAAGGTGATCTCAAAGAGCTATTGTTGTTTTCTTTTTCTTCCTACCAATTTTATCAACCAGATAAACGTCCCTGTCAAAAAGTATTTTTCAGATGGTTCACGAGGAGTTTAGCAATGTGCATGATCTCCAGTGATGAGAGGAGTCAGCAAGACACAATGTTAGGTGCACAGTTTGGTTGGTGCTATATCCTCCTTCAGGAATCCAATCTTTAACATTGTTTATAGAGTACTTGGCAATGCATGTGCAATTTTAAAATGGAAAGGTGTCAGTTATGAAGCTATTTTAGAGAGAGACATATGCATATGTTATTGGCGCAGCCACATATGTTTGAGATCTAGCAGACTACTAGCACAAGACGTAGTTGAGCAAACTGACCTACTACTATTCACAAGATAAAAAAAAATTATTTCTTCTTAACTATGCATATTTGCAGACAAGAACATAGAGGCTGACGTTTTTACTAAGCAGAACAGAACATCTATGTTATGGGAAAGAGAAAAGACAACTACATTTTTGTACTAGATTCACAATTCCCCATACTACAATTAGTAGTACGACTATCTTGGAGATTCTGCAGAGCATCTTGTGAGGTTTACCAAACAGTATACGGTAATCTTTTCAGTTTTTAAAACCACGGGATACCTTGTGATAATCGCGATAACTGCCAAACCGCGGGTGGCGGTAAGCCCACTCCAAACGGTAAGAAGTAAGAAATGCTCAGAGTAAGAAGTAAGAACAGGTAAAATGGCATTCCAACCAAACCTATCCAATAGCGACAGAAAAAGACGTTGCACTTCCAAAAGGGCTGCCTTTTCTTGTAACAAGATACACTAATAAGCCACCAGCAAGAGATCATAAAAAAACAGAGAAAACAACAGCCTTTGCAAACAAATTAAGGAGATTTGTTTAAGCTACGAGCCTGATCATCTCTGAACATCGCCGAACGCCGATGCATTTGTGGCAGCATTTGGATGTAAAATGGAAAAATGCGTCTTGTTATAGAGACAAAATTGCAGTATTTCTTTCTAATTTAAGGTATAAACAATCAAGAATCCGATCTGTAATACTACAGTGTTTTCCCCCCAAATCGTTCCAAAGAAATGGGAGCGGTGAAAAGATCGTGGCGTAACGTACAGGGCGGTCGTAGAAGTGGAAGAGGGAGGGGCTGAGGAACTCGGCCCGCTTCCGGGAGATCTCCTCCGCCCGCGGCCCGTCGTACGGCGGCGGCGTGTAGTCGAACGGCGGCATCTTCGGGGCGGCGGCGAAGGCATTCTCCGGCGCGGGCGCGGCGGCGGCCGCCGCGGCGGAGAGGCTGGACTGGGCACGGACAGGGGCGAGCGCCGCCTGGAGGAGCCTCCGGGAGGAGGCGAGGCGCTGCATGTCGGCGTCGGCGTTGGCTTCCTTCCCGGCGGGCGGCGCGCGCGTGTGAAGTGGTTGATGCCACTGGAGGCCATGGCCGCGCCTATAAATAGACGGGGGGTGGCAGGGTGGCAGCCTGGCAGGGAGGAAGAAAGGGTGAAATGACGAGCTTGCCCTTCCCTCCTTTGGGCGCGTGTCAGAATGGGAATAATTAATGAAATTAAGGATTTGTTATCCTGGACTCACATGAGGTCCACATATGATAGACTTCGAGTGGTAAATCTAAATCCCTCGTGAGAATGAGACTAGCAGCTGAAGAATCTGCTCCAAAATAGTTCATATTCTCAAAATTTGTAGTTATAAAATTTAAAAAATAAACTACTATCTCCGTCTCAAATCTAATATCAGGATAAAGATATATTTAATCCGGTACTAGATTTCTATATTTTAAAACGAATGCGTATAAGTCAGAAATTAGAAAACTTAGTTTTTTTGTAGGGTCTATTCGTTGTAACTTTTGTGTACCTGCGCAGCTGCAGCTGCTACGGTGACTATATTGTTTCTACACACTGGTATTGTTGGTGTAGTTGCAGCTGGTGCAGCAAGCTGCACCAAACAGGGCCATATTCTTATCACCTACTCAACCAGGCTAGTGTGAGACGTGGAGGGTCTTAGTGTCGAGAGGCTCACCTACAAGTTCTCTCAGCTACACACCATGTCCCATAATATAAGGGATTTTGGTGAGTAAAATCACTTATATTATGGGGCGTCCATCAAAATCCTTTATATTATGGGACGGAGGGAGTATTTTTCTTTTTCATTTGATAACGCCCATTTACATATTTATGGGTACATATTACTGGAGGTACGTTCAAAGAGATGAAGTCCAGTGATAAATCGGTAAAATCGCTCTCGCTGAGCTTTTACAAAAGCATGTCTGATTATACCCAATTTGTACCATGTTGCATGATCACGCATTCACACCCCCTCAAATCCTTGTATATTGATAGATCACTACCACCTGGTAATCCTGCCAGTTTCTTTCAAAAAAAAAAAACTAAACCAGGTAAACCTACCATTTTCTTACTGGTTAGTAATCTCCTACCATTTTCTTTCAACAAAAAAGATCATTACAACCTGGTAATCCTATCAACAAAAAAGATCACTACAACCTGGTAATCATATACCATTTTCTTACTGGTTAGTAACCTCCTGCCATTTTCTTTCTACAAAAAAAAAAAAGATCACTACAACCTGGTAATCCTATCAACAAACACGATCACTACAGCCTGGTAATCCTACCGTTTTCTTACTGGTTAGTAACCTCCTGCCATTTTCTTTCAAAAGAAGATCAGTACAACCTGGTAATAATCAGTTGATCCAAGGTTTCTTACTGGTAGGAGTAGTAAATTTCAGCTTCAATAGCTGCCAATTAGCGTCCCTAGCACAGCACACAGTATGGACAAAACTAACGCACTAGCAAAGTTGTTCACGGGCCCTCGTGAATGAACGGCTCTGCTTAATCGCAAATGAAGAAGAAGGGGGGAAAAAAGGAAACAAAATGAACTGTTCTGAACTTCTGCTCCAGCTAGCTACAAAACTGGCTAACTGTGTCGCAGGTCAAGAAACTGCTCCCAACGAAGTCCGATCAGTCGAATGAACAACCCATTGCTGTTCATGACGAAAAGACAACTTGTTTACCTTTGCAAGAGAGATGTGCTGTATCATGTAGGTATCATGTAGTAACGATGTTCTTTATAGCATAGTAGGTCGCCATCTTTTCATGTCTGATAGGAAAACACAACTAAATTAATCACTGAGTTAACCTTTCAGTTCAGGGAGTTATCATCGATTCATCGTCAGATAGTACTGCCTTTTCATTTATCCTCTTTTCACCAAAAAAAAAACTGCCTTTTCATTTATGTAAGCTTTGAGAGTTTCAGTACTTAAAACATTGGCTGAGTGTGCCATTTGCTCCTTTCTGGAAACGTCTATTGGCTGCTTATCCTATTGCCTTATCATGGAGATTGATGGATCGACTGATTGAGGTCCCCGGACACCTCGTCGTGGGGCAATCCTGACTACGACGGCCGGCGATGGTGTTGTCTCCTGCAGTCAAGGTTGTTGGTTCTCTGTAAGCACCTTCTGAAGACGATGTTAAAGAACTCACTTCAGTAATCATTTTTAAGGGAAACACTACGCTGCTTAATCATCTGATATGAACCTTAATTATATATTTATCAATGCTAGTACTAGTGAAGTACTACTAACCAGCTGGTATTGTTGTTGGTTGGTTGGTTGATGCATTCGAGTATTTCGACGATCTTAAATCACTGATTGAGCTTGTACGATGTCGAGATGGCGACGCGATGATCGTCACCAAATTAAACTGAACTTCTATCTACCTCTCCTGCATTTCTCCCTCCATTTCTCCTCTCCGAATCTTATTTTATTCAGTTCCAAATATTTACATGTTGATAGATCACGACTGCACGGCGGGGATCTCTTGCTCAAGATAGCTCAGTTCACCTCTGCATGTACATTAGCTTTGGGAGATAATTTTGATAAGGTTTTCTGCGTTTCGTCAGTCACTAGCTTGCTTGCTGTAGTGACTAAATTAGCAGATAGCGATCAGAGACGGCGTGCTTGGCTTGTCCAGAGGCAAATTAAACTGGTGCTGAGTCACCCTCCCGATCCAATCGAGCTGATGTGTCCGCTTGTCCTAGCAAGGAGTAGCTTGCTACAGTCAAGTTGGTCGTGCGTGAAACGTAAGTGATGACGTGTATTGTGATTATTTATGCGAGGCATCGATAACCAACAACTTAATTGTCCGGTTGTCCCGTGCTTTGCCACTGGCTCTTCTACCGTTGGTTTAGAGCAAGTTTAATAGTATAGCACACTGCTAGCTTCAAATAATCTATAGCCGATGTAATTGCTAATTCATACAATAGTTGCTTACTATACTATTAATACCTGGTCCCACCTGTCATACACACATTACGTCTTGGAGTCCGTGCTACAGCTGGCTATAGATCTGTAGCCCGCTGCTCTTTTCTCTCTTCCTTTATTTTTTTAAAATATGTTTATAGCTGGCTTATAGCTTGCTATTGTACCTAAGAATCTTAGAGTGAGGTTGGTGAACCTGAACACCTCCAGCCGTCCAGCGTATCCATTTCAATGTCAGCAGAAATTATTCAACTTCACAAGACAGTTGGGCGTTGGAACTTCTCAACTTCTTCTTCAGTACTGATCAGCATTCACTACTACAGAAAGCGTTTTTGCATACGGGCGGAATCGATCTTCACATGCGGTTGGCCGGCCCGCATGCGCGAAATGGTCTGCAAATATCACCATTTGCGCATGCGGCCGTCGCAGCCGCATGCGAAGATCGATCTTCGCATGCGGTCACTTAAGACGGCCGCATGCGAAAATAGATCTTCGCATGCGGTCCATATAAGGAGCCGCATGCCCTAATACATGCGGCCCCTTAAGACGGCCGCATGCGAAAATAGACCTATTATCGCATGCGGCTGTCTTAAGCAGCCGCATGCGATAATGGATCTTCGCATGCGGCAAATCAACCCGCCCCCGGGGGGTGGTTTTTGCAGGCGCCACCACAAGCGGCCCGCATGGAACCTACCGACCTCCTCGTACAGAAAAACGATTTTTGTAGTAGTGATTCCGATGCATGGGAATACTAAATTCTAGTTGTAAAATTCTATGCAGTGAAAACAATATGTTTGTTTGGCAGAGTTTCTAGGTCATAAACCTTTCAAAATACTACCCCGTTCTTTTTTAATAAATCCGTCCCAAAATATAAGAATTTTCTTAAATCGGACATATATGTTAAAAAAAATAGGTAGAAATGATTGGGGAAATTTGGGATTGATTGAGAAGAAAAAGTAAATAGATAAATTAAATGAAGAATGGTTGTGAATGGTTTATATGAAAGGTGAGTGGAGAAATAACTTCTTTTTCGACATACTATTGTGCTAGAAAAAGCTACATTTCGAAACTGATGTAGTACTTTATTGTTTTGAACATCGTCATAGTACCCCCAATGCATATATTTCATCATTTCTTGTCTAAGAGCATTCTGACTATTTTTGGCACTCCAAATATTCATATGGCTAGAAAAAGTCGATATCCATATTTCCTTCTGACTCCTACTGCTTCTCCAATGGGTCCCACATGCCATCCTCTCTTTCCCTTCTTCTTTACCCACTCTTATGATCTCCCCTATCCATCTACCCCATCCATTGCCCATACCACTGGCTATGTCATGTGAGGTGGTGTGTGGTGTGGGTGGTTGACGAAGCTTGGCCAAGTATGAGAAAGCCTCGGCACAAGGTGGAGGTGGCTGAGAGAGCTCACTAGCAAGTGTTAGAGTGAGCATGACTACATCGGGAGTTTACATTGGTGGCCATGTTGCTTAACGCCACCGAGGGGAGGCATTTGAGGGAGCTCAACAGCGAATGGCGAAGCAAGTTAAGGAGGAGGTGCACAGAGGAGGAGACAGTGACAGACGTGCTACTAGATGACACAAGGGGAGATGGAGCAAGCTCGGGGAAAAAGAGAGGTGGCAGATCTGGTGCATCAACAACGATGGCAAGCCGGCTACTTGGGGTAGGTGGTGGACCACAAGGAAAGATGGTCGACCTCCCATAGATAGGTTAAGGTTTCTTTATTGTGGGCTAAGAACTAATCCCCCACGCAAGAAAAACGAAATGGCATATTAGCCCATAATTAATTCAGTATTAGTTAGGAAAGCATGCGCACGGGAATCAACAGAGTGGAGTTGGGAGCATAAGGAACGAACTCAACCTAAGGTTGTGTTTTTTTACACTTTCCCAACTTCTATCCCTCGTTTTATGTGTACATGATTTTTAAGCTGTTAAGCGGTGCGTATTTTGAAAAAAAATCTATAGAAAAGTTGTTTTTTTAAAAAAAATCATATTAATCCATTTTGAAGTTTTTTAGCTAATACTTCATTAATCATACGTTAATCTACTGCTCTATTTTACATGTTGGGAAGGAGGATTCCTAATCCTCGCTTATGAACTCAGCTTAAGTTTGC